TCTTGTATTGAGAAAAATCAAATAAAAAAAAAATCAAGAAATCATCATTGACGCATTATTTATTCTTATGGTGTGTTATAATATAACAAGAAAATACAACAAACAGTATTAGGTATAATTTTAGTGTTCTACTTTGATCTGACGATTTTCAGTTATTTCAAAATAGCCAGAGTTTTCGGCTAAAATGAGTAAAGAGACGTTTCTGGTAAGGGTGTTGCAAAATGACATTCAAGTCTGACTTTTCCTTGCTTTACCAATGACAGATTGTTGGCATCTGAAAAGTGAGGTTGTAAATCGAAACAGAATAAAGCATATCCATTGTTGAAGTCTGATCTAGTTATTTCATTCCCCGCATCTCCGCCCCACTTTCCACAGTTTTCAAACATTTTAACGTACGCTGCAACATTTGTTGCACCCCGGTCTTCGTTAAATTGTAGTTTCAGAGGAATTCCATCTACAGGAACTCAATCACAGTACAGAGTTATTTGTTGTAAGTCAAAATATTGAAAATTCCACTGATTGAGTTGATAATCACCGTTCACGGCGTTTGTCGAAGTTAGACCCATAATAATTCGTTTTGGTTTCACGTCTTGGAAAAGGTTCTCCAACACTGCATTCGTACTACCCATCATAAGAGTGATATGTTTCATTACTGTTTTTGTATAGGGATATTTAGCATTCGTTGATTTCAATGCTTCCGAATGAGCAAAAATGATTGCCGGATTGACTTTAATTTTACACACTTTAACGACAATATCTTCAATGATAACATCATAGTCAGCATCGTCTTCGCTCGACATCAGAAAGAAACTCGGTTTACTTCTGAAAAGTTTCAATTTTACGTCAACCATATTCAATAAGTAACGATCCATTTCAAAGAGATCGTAAAACAACATTCCCTCCATATCAAGGCTCTTAGAATTACCTATCAATTTTTTTTCTTTCGTAAAGACCCGTGTTAGTGTCAAAAGAGTGCCATGTGTCCACTTCTGTCCTTATAAAACAACGCACCTGTTAGTTGTGATGCTTTTGCATCTTGTCCATAATCGAGTAGCGTTTTCATCATGCATTTGTACGAGTAGTTGGTATTACTGGATGATATCAGTGAACCTTGTAGGTAACAGTCGACCTGAGAAAAAAGTGCATAGAAAAATCCATTTACTGGTGCCACCTTCGAATCTATAGCGATATTGTCTCCATTGCTATGTTTTACACGTAACTTAACATACAGTTTCGATCGTTTAAGCTTGATGTATTCTAGTCCGTTCTGAGCACACAAATTAAATTCTATTGGGTTGTAGGCTGTAACTTGTGATGTAGGACGACATTCTTCAAACGAAATTGACTCAACTCCTAACTGGTATGGAGGTATCTCGAAAACTTCTAATTGTGAAGGAATAGCTTCGGTGAAGTTGTTCTGTGATGTTAGTAAAGCCATTCTTAGTTGGAAAATACGTCTCGTTTCGGTTCTCTTTTCTTTTTGTGGATATTAGCTCCACTGCTGCTTGCCTTAGGACTGGTCTTTCGTTTACGATTTTTTCCTTTTATCTGCAAACCCTCATCTTCTAAAGACTCTTTAGCCATTTCGACCATTTGTGCACTTGGACTAACTAGACGAAGATTGCACTTTTCGTTAGATTTCGACAACGATGACGATAATCTTTGATTCTGAATAGGTATCATAAAAGACCCATTACGTCCGGTATTTTTCATGTGATTTATATACGTTTTATTATTCCCCTGCACAACATTTTGGTAATATTTTGACCACTTCTCCATGCTTGGAATGTACATTTTGTCCACATTCATCGTTGACGCTTCTCTGTTCTTTTTCTAATATGTAGTGTACAGGACAGACGTTGAGTTAAAAATGACGCTTGTTCTCCACTTTCATCAAAAATATGTATTTCTATGTCGCGGATTTCAGTTTTTTTCACAGGGACGAAAATAGGGTAAGAAAAAACGTAATTCCAAGTATTGTTTGGTGTAGGAAACACACGTCGTAAAAGTGAAAACTGATTGTGAAACAGGCTTACACCCATACACACGTCACAAAAAAAATAGTTCGTGTTTATTTTTTTTTACAGTTGAAATTTTCTCCTCGGTATAAAAATCCAAAACAGCTATTTCCCACTTCCCCTCTAAATACAAATTGTCACTTAGGTGAACCTTGAAATTTGTAGGTGTATTTTCGGGATAATACTTTTTTGATTGGTCGTTGATTAAGAAAATAATATGCTCCTCGTCAATATCATCGTTTTTCATGAGTGTTTGAATGTCTTCCTCGGGAATGTATTGATTATATTTATCAGGCCAACCTTGAAATTTACATAAAAACTCAGTCTTCCCTCGCCTTTTACGCTTTTTAAGAACTTTCTCTACGGCCCAGAGTGATGCATCTGATTTATCAACAGCTTGAAGTTCAGAAGAATAATATTCACCTAAAATCACTTCATCGTTATAAAAGGAACCCAATTTATAAATGTTGATGTTCTGCTTTTTAAATCTCCGTACAACTTTAAATATCTCATCCGTCCATTTTTGACTATAACTTCTGTTAAAGATGTGTCGCGTATAAGCAATTCGAACAAGAGAACCGATTTTAAATTTGTAACTCTTTCGTTGTTGCATTCTTTTTTTTCTCATCGAATCTGCTTCAGTTTTAAGTTGTTTCGTGTTTTTGGTATTTGGTCGACTCATCTTATCATGTGATTGTTTTTTGTTCAAGTATTGTTGAACCCATACATCCGCTTCGTTTTCAGGTGTAACATCGTTGGGCAATGTAGTTTAAGGACCTGTGTGGTGTTGCATTGTACCTCTTTACAAATTTTTGTAAGTTGTCAATGTACCGATACGTTCTCTTTTTAGTAAAGTAACGATAAAATTTGTTTTTTATGGTTTGTATCACACGCTCTGCATAGTTTGCTTTTATCTCGTTCTTAGTTACAAAATGTCGCACTCCCCTTTCCTTGAAAAGTTTTTGAACAACCTTCGACTTGAAACATCCATCAACGTCCGAGCGGATCTTGTCTACCTTTGCTGATTGGAGAATTTTTCCAAAAGCTTTGGCTATGTCAACACCTTTTTTACTCTTTGATTCTTGCATCCAAAGACGACGACTAAAGCAATCTATGGCAACTAGTATAAAATTATATCCAGAGTTCCATTGTGATAAATTACTTACTTGCATTAGGTCGACGTCCATTAAGTTACCAATTCCAGTTGTATACACACGTAATCTCTTAAAAGAACGTCTGGGAGTTTTTTGTAAGGAATAATTGTCTTGTGCATTTAACCATCTCTTTATTTTGTGGTAACCGATTTTTTTTCCATCCGCATTAACAATGTGATAAAGTTTGCTAGCTGAGGGAAAAGAACTTGGATTTTCTATATTGTAATAAATTGGTGCCAAAAGATTGTTCACTTCTTCGTCCATTGTGTTATACTGAACTTATATCCAACCAACCAAACTCTTGAGAAACATACATGAAAATGAGAATTTTTAAACCAGTGAAAATGTCCAATTAAATTCTATTTGTCATCCTTGTATTATATCACAATAAATTAATGTGTACCTTTGAATACTATGTATGTATGTTTACCTCTCATTGACAATATTCCACTCATAATAATCCAATTTCTTTTGTTTTCCTTATTTTCTTTTTTTTTTAATCATGTTAGATAAGTGTGTAGCAATGAATAGCATGCATGTATACATCTCATTGACAATATTCCACTCATAATAGTTTTAAAACTAAAACATAATGAACTATTAATAAATAAGACAAACAATGGTCAGAGTTGAAAAGTATTTTAATTGTTGTCTTACTTTTCTATTTTGATTTTACTTTTTTTAGAAAAGTTCATTTTCTTTCCAACTCTTACTGTATGTTTAACTAAACAAAAAAATTAAGTTTCACTTAAAGGTGAGATATCTGTACAATGTTTAACAAATAAAATACAAGATCCAAAGTATAAACTTCACACACACACTTTTTAAATTCAATACAAGATCAAAAGTATAAACTTCACCCACACACACACTTTTTAAACACAGTCAGATCAAAAGCATAAACTTCACACACATTATTAAAACAATGTCAGAACTTATGAGACAAGAAAACATAATATAACAAACTTTATTAAAACACAAATTTTTTTTTTAATTATTACTAATGATAAGTTAAACGATCAGGTTGATTTCTTGTTCTTGTTGATCTTCTCGGTTGATTCTTGTTTAACAAATAATACAAATAAGTTGAAAACTTTTTACAATATTTTTTGAACTTCCTAGAAATAATTAAATGTCTTCCGGTTGTTAAAAAGTAGATGTTCTGTAGGTACCCTATTAAATCTTCTCTAAAAATTGGATTTATTGGCAACAGATACAGAACACCAATAACACAAACTGCCAAAATGTCTGGAATGAAGAAAAAAAATCAAATTGAAGAAATTATATAAGAATGCTAAAAAAGGAGATTACTTTTGTTTCCTTTCATTTAAAACACAAAATTCAACTTCTGATGATAAATGCGATGTTATGCTAGGCACCCTTTTTAACTCAATACTATTCACATGATAATATGATTTTCTCTTTTTACAAGAAGTACAAAAAGATTTAACAAAAAAAAACAAAGAAAATTGATAAAGAAAACACAGAAAGACAAACGACTACAATAATCCATTTCCTAGCACTTTCTGTTCCTTCGTTAGCTGTAAAAAAAAAAATATTATGAATACTTATTTAATTTATGATAAAAGCTTTATTTTTGGAATGAATGCTATATTTTTTTTTATTTTCTGTCTTTTCTCCCACTTACATAAACTTTATTGATATGTAAATTAAATGATTTTCTTATTTTATTTAATTTCAAATCTTTAAAATTAATACTTACAATATAATCCATTGATGTAAGTGCTGTTTTTTATATTGTACAATGAGTAGTAAACATTGATTATTGTCTTAACTAATTATTTTTCTTTTTAGAATCAAGTAATCGATTTAACAGAAAGTACCATGCAGGAGCCTATGGAGGTAGAAAATAATGTTGCAAGTGGAAGCAGCAGTACATGTAGTAAACAAAAAAATGTAAGCATAACTCTTTTATAAATATAATCCTTTATATTACAATAATCATAATCAAAATATATTGTTTAACATGAGTAATTGCGATTGATAACTAATGAAATAAAGATTTTTTTAAAGTTTATAAATCAAATTTATGACATAGATTACTTCCTTTACATAGACATATATCTCACTATGTTAATTTCCTACATTATTTTCTTATCAGGACATATCATTAGAAAATGATATAAAAGAAGCAAGTGAGATATATCTCAATGTGAGTATATAATTTTTTTATTTTCAACAATAAGTCAATTTTTATCAATAATCGAAATCAAAATATATATCACGTGGTGATTTTTTTTCCTTATATGGTCACATGATTAACATTTCCTAATAAGGTATACAAAATAGCGCATGCTTTCCTTATATGGTCATGTAATTAACTTCCTAATATGGTAATCATGCTAACTATTCAACTATTTTTTCACTTGTAAAATTTAATCAAACACGATGTACTTACATACGATAAGCATTCTTCCCCGTTCACCACTATAATTTTCCCTTCCACTGTGCCACATAGCTCTTTATTTGACATCGTAAGTTCGAACACACAAGTGGCTTTCAAGCGGACATTTTGAATCTGGTCACTTTTCAGAATATAGTTCATCAACACCCTGTTAATAGAAGGATCTATCTCTCCACTAAAGTATTGAATACCACCACCTCGACAATCCAATATTTCTTCACTTGTATAACAATCTGCTGTATTTACATCACTTCCCACATGGGTAATTGATAAAAAAAACAACTCAGGACAACAAACAAAAACATGGCGATCATCTTCAATTTCTATAATTAGAGTGTGAAGAGGTGACGTCACGTGGGTGAATAAAGGAAAGCTTTTATTATCTTTACCTGATTAAAAGAACGATTTTTTTTCTTCTATTTTGATTTTAAAGAAAAAAAGAATTTCATCATATTTTGTTTGTTTTCTTATCAAATAATTAAATATTATTTATTACTAAAAATGAATACTTAATTACAAGTGTATATATGTTTTAGGAACCGATGGAAGTAGATTTTCTCGACTCTTTATTAGATGACCAAAAAAGGTTATTTTAACAGATGAATACAGTGAAGGACATGAACAGTATATTCATCATACAAAAGAAAGGAAAAAAAAATGGTTGCAGTTTAAATGTTTCAACTAAAAATCATACAATTTTAAATATTTTAAATAAATGTTTATCAAATGAAAGGTGTTATTTTTTTTTTTGTTTTAAGAAACTATATATAGATGAGACAACATGGTATTTTATTTTTAAACAAACTAATCGAGAAAAGAAAGAAAAATAATATCATGAATTTACAAAGAAAAAGAAAGAAAAAACTTGTTTGTATTTTAACTATCCTTATCTCGACTAGTTTGTAAGAAAATAAAGTTAGTGGTTCGTAAATATTTCTTCTTTCTTGCAATCTGTGTTGTAGAGTATTTCCTGTAAAAATAAAAATAGTCTGTCTCTCTTTCCGTTACAATTCATTTCATTTAATCAAACAAAGGATCCGCTAATTTTGTCCGAACACAAATGGATTTCAATTATCTCCAAACAATAGGTCAATTATTAAAAGTGATTCCTCTAATCTAGGATATCAATTAAGAGTGGGTTCTCTAATCCGAAAACAAATAGTTTATAATTAACAATTGTTTACTCTAATCAGGATTAAAAGGGGGAACAAAACATTGACGATCTATAATCTAGATTAAAAGATAAGGATTATCTTAATCCAATTGATTACATAATAATGTGCTTTAAGTTGCATCATAAGCTGCTTTAAGAAGATTAGAGTGCTTAAAATCGTACCATAAGCTGGATTAAGAAGATTAGAGAAAGCTGGAAGATTAGGGGGATTATAGGGGGGTTAGAAGTATCCTCACTTGAGGAGGGCACTCTCACTCTCTACTACTAGTGAGCCATTTCCGCTGTTTTTTTGCTTTGTTCGTTTGTTCTACTGTTTGGAGTGGCTGCTGCGGAATAAATTGCAGTTAACATTTTTTTTGTTTGTGTTTCTGTTCTGTTCTTCAATTAAATAAGATTTCGGGGACTAACATATTCTCACGCAAGGATAATTCAGAATGTGTTAAGTTATCAAAGGTACCAGGATTATAATTCAATACGCCAGACGCGCGTTTCGTCTACATAAGACTCATCAGTGACGCTCAGATCAAAATAGTTATAAAGCCAAAGAAGTACAAATTTGAAGAGCATTGAGGACCCATAATTCCAAAAAGTAATGCCAAATACGGCCAAGGTAATATATGCCTGGGATAAGAAAATCCTTAGTATTTCGAAATTCATGATTTGGTAAAGAGGAAATTTATAAAAATTACCATATTATTGATATTCATGTCAACAGCGAAGTGCTGACTACTGGACTGGCGATACCCTCGGGGAGGAAGAGACCAGACAGGAGAATTTGATGTTTCCCCTCGGTGAATAAAAAGCATGAATGTTGTCATATACCTTCATCGTCGAGCGGGGGAGGGCAAAATTAGAGAAAATCCTAAACTTGTGCTTAATTTGTGAAACTCGAAGACTGCTTGTCCGTAGTATCCATCCACCTATTCTATGCTAAATATATATTCATTTTTCCTTCAGAGAACTTTCAAAAAACCAAACACCAAAGGAAACATCAGTCACGAAGAAATGCCGAATATGTATAAAGATTATAACAAAAGATGGTATAAAAGTCATCTTAACATGCATATGGATAAAAACAATGACATTTACCAAACCAGACATTATCCTACTGTAATTGACATATATAACGGAGTTTTTGCCTCATCAAAGAACATTTCAGGCCCCTTCAATCCTGGCCACGTGGCCTAAATAACTAGTAGACCTGATGCTGGTATATTTTGAGAGAAAAAAAAATGTATAGAAGATCAACAAATAGCGAAACGTGATTGCAACTATTCCTTTGAATGTCCAAATGCTAGATAAAGTCATTATGCAATTAAGCAATGTAAAGAAATTGTAAACTCCGTTTCATAAGAACAAATGGTGGAAGAAAAAAAACTCACACAAGATCAAGGTCATATGGTGCATCAACTACAAGAACAAGCTGTATTAGAACATGCCCTTTTCTTAGTCTTTTTAAGGATTCCACATTCAGTTTCTTACAGTTTATTTTTTTCTGTAAATGCCGAAAGAAGGAGATACTGGTCAAAATTAAAGAGAACAATTGTAACATTTGATACCGTAAAAAAGACTTTAGTCATGTCACTGTTCTTCGGGAAAGAGAACATATCATCACAAAACAGCTATCAAATGGCACTTGGACATGTTAGCATCGGAAATCAAGGATCTAAGTGACAGTGATAACTATAAAGACAGACAAATGTAACGAAGAAGCACAAAAAGGCATACATCAAATTTAACATCCTCATTTTGCTTATATTATACGATTTTATTTATCTATGTAAAATCCACCCATAAAGGATGGAAGGTTTTTTAAGTACTGGTGTAAAATCGCGCGTTTGAAATTCGCACAGGTAGACATAAAATAATTTTGTCGTTCAAAGTATGAGGGGGGACAAAAAGTCACAGGACATAAAGTCACAAATTTGATAGGACAAAAAGTCACAAATATTTTTTGATTATTTTTTAAATATATTTTGAAATATTTTCCTGTTATTGCATATATTCATTTGTAAGTTAAAGAAATTGCTCATTAACCTTGATAAATGAAAATGTATTAAATTTTAATTATGCAAAGGATATATTTATTGGCAAAATGAAGCCATTTGAGTACCAAGCCACTTAGACATTTTGTTTTCATAATAATTATTTGATCATTATTGATATAAAACTAATGTCAGAAAATAGTGATGCAACACGAAAGACTCACTTGATAAGGGTTGTAAGATAAAATTTAATTTTAATACAAACAAGGTATGAACCATGATTATAAATTTTCACTCCACCTATGAACAACAAAATTATTTATTTTCTCCAATACGTCTCAAAACTATTTTTATTTACCTGTGTATATATAATTGATTGATTGATTATTGGTTGCTTAACGTCCAGAGGCAAATATTTCATGCATATTCAGGACGAGAACAAATTAACAATAAATACAATAGGTAGGTTCTGTAATAGATTAAGGGATTAAGGTCGGAGAAATTTAGACTGCCACGGGAAATAAGGGTATATTGGATAGGGATAGAAATTTAGCCTTGCAACAGGTCACCTACGGACCCCTCAAAGAGTTGTTGCAAGGGTTTTTAACGTGCAAAGAGCGTGGCACTCTCTTTACACGAGGCATCGTATTTAACGTCCCCATTCTGATCGGACGTGGCTGCAAATATGTACATCCCGCACAGCCAAACGGCCGGTCGGAGGAAGACCAATGGTGACCATACTTCTATTCCCCAGTCACCCTTGGGGGTGTGTATATATAAAACATGTTTTCTAATTGGCGGCATTTTATTCAAGGTTAACATCGTAATATCATTCTTATTCTTTTTCTCATACATACGGTGGTATAATGCTCTAGGCTATGGCTGACTTTCTGAAATTGTTTCGTTTTTAATTTATAGATTATGTATTTACATTGTTTCATGGATCAAAATCAAATGCCCCTGAATATGCATGAAATATTTGCCACTGGACGTTGTGTAAACAGTGTATAACCTGCAAATTTTGCTCATACACTTTCTTACTTCGTTTCTTGATATTTCATGCATGAATATATTCTGTTAATGAACTAATGATCATTGCTTTTTCAGCAATTAAAGATCATAAAAGGCGTGAGCAGGTAACATATCTTGACATACAATTTCAGTATAGGTTAGTGGAACGCCTTGGCATAGATTTCAAGAATCCTAGCAATTACTGGTATTTTATTTGTAAATAATCAATTTGCTTTAGTCTAGAATTTTAGTTTATTTGAGGACCTTTTGTCTGATTTTAAAAATATAAATTAAATTGTAGAAATATTCGAATTAGCTCTCGCCGCGATATAACCTTTTAGTGCTCATGAGGCGTAAAGCAAACAACAATCAATGATTCAATGCGTTCCTCTAGATTGCATCATCTTTTGCATGATACGCTGAAACCAGAACAATAGATGAAGAAAAAGATCTTTTCGACGGTTGGTTGCCATCCCAAGAAGATTCGAGATTTTAATATGTCAGTGCTACATGAAATTGAATGTTTGGTCTTGAAAAGAGAGTCGGATGTAGTAGCAATCGGGGAGTGTAGACTTGATTTTAGTGAAAATGTTCCGTCGTTTGAGGTATAGGCAAATGCAGGCTTTTATATCGCAGAGGAGATTGGCAGCGGGTTAAAATGTGACAACTGTTATTCCCTGTCGCGATGCAGAGGAAACTGCTTTTGCGATGATCCACCAATACTTGGATACGCACCATAAGATACATTTACACTGTTATACATGATCCGTCAGCACAATGAATAGGTTTTTAAGCTCGTTCAAGAATTTGGATACTGGCCTAACTAATATCATCACTAAACATGATTTTAGCAGTGATATTGTTGATATAGTCAAGAACGTGCCGCTAGGCCGTCTTCTGTGGAAACTGACAGTCCCCTTTTTGTGACTGGCATCAATTACGGTTGTATATTCAGTTCGATGTTTTCACATCCAGGTCAAGACATAAATTTTGCAGTGACGTTTCACCAAATGAACCATCTTAAAGGTGAAATGCAAAGGTTTTTAAAACGTTTTTGTTTTATATTTCAATCAATTGGTTAAAATAAATTCTAAAAAAAATATTGGTAGTCGTTTGTGTGTCTATAAAATAGGTAACTTCATGGTTCACCGGGGAAAGTGCAAAATGATTATCTCCCTTTGTTCAGGAATGCTGGTGACGTCATTCGTGTCCTCCCATTCGGAATGTAAACACAACAGCTTGAAAGCGAATACAAACGGCAATACAACTTTGGATTATACGATGGAGGTGAACAGATAAACTTTCCCGAGATTAACCAAGTAATGTTGGTACAGCCGTACATGTATGAACCTGTAAGTCAGAGGATTACTGGTGCCGAATCGCAGTAACATGGTGAAGAATCTAAAATTTTACTGCCGATTGTGAAAATGGAAGTAAAAATCAATCTTTTAGCAGCCTAGCGGTTTTAAAATCCCATGGTT